GTAAATATATATATAGTAATAGTAAGGTATGATATAACACGCACACATCACACAACACACACACGGCAACACCACACACACACACCACACACCAACACACACACACACAGCACACACACACACCACAGCACACACACAACACACGCACACACACACACACACCACACACACACACACGCAGATATAATATATATATAATATATATATATATAATATAATATTATATATATTATATATATATATAATTATTGTATATATAAAATATAATATCAAATATATACACACACACACAACACCACCACACCCACACACACACACCACACACACACACACCACACACACGACACCACAACACACACACACACACACCACAATATATGATATAGCATTATCATATATATGTGTTATATATATATTATATATATAATATATATATTATATATATATATATAATATATATATAATATATATAATATTATATATATATATGATATGTGTATATATGTATATACATATACATATGCATATAATACATATATATACATATAGTATATATATGTATATATAATATATATATATATATATATATATAATATAAATATATATAATATTATAATATATATGTAAGTTGTATGTAGATATGTTATACATACATACACACATACATACATACACACACACACACCCACACACACACACAACACAACACACACACACACAACACACACACACACACCACACAATACACAACACACACACACACACACACACACGCGCGCACACACACTACACACACATATATTTATATATATATAAATATATATATATATATATAAATATATATATATATATATATATATATATATATATATATTCAGAGAAGGAAAGAGAGGCAGGGAGAGAAAGGAAATCAGGTATAGAGGTAAAGAGAGCAAATGAACCGAGAAACCAGTACACAGCAATAACATAGAGAATTTGATCTCCAAGAGAGAGCCAGGAAGAGAGCCAGGAGTGAGCCAGGGAGAGAGCCAAGGGAGAAGGGGAGGACAGGAAGGAGAGAGCCAGGCCAGAGAAGGGCAGGAAGGAGAGCCAGAGAGAGGGCCAGGAAGAGAGGCCAGGGAAGTGAGCCAGAAGAGAGCAGGAGAGGAGGGACAGGAAGAGAGCCAGGAGAGGGCCAGGGAGAGAGAGAGCCAGGAGTGAGCAGAGGGCCAGGAGAAAGAGAGCCAGGCAGAGGGCCAGGAGAGCAGGAGAGGGCCAGGAAGAGAGCCAGGAGAGCCAGAAGAGACTAGAAGAGAGCCAGGGAGAGAGCTAGGAAGAGAGCCAGGCGAGAGAGCTAGGAAGAGAGCCAGGGAGAGACCAGGGAGAGAGCTAGGAGAGTGCCAGCAACGCAGAGCAGGAAGAAGAGCCAGGGAGAGCTAGGAGAGAGAGCCAGCGGAGAGCAGAAGCCAGGAGAAGAAGCTAGGAAGAGAGCCAGGAGAGAGCGCAGGAGAGAGAGAGCCAGAGAGAGCCAGGAAGAGAGCCAGGGAGAGAGCCAGGAAGAGAGCCAGGGAGAGAGCCAGGGAAGAGAGCCAGGAAGAGAGCCAGTAAAGAGGGCAGAGAGAGAGAAGCCAAGAGAGAGCCAGGAAGAGAGCCAGGAAGAGGGAGCCAGGAGAAGGCCAGAAAGAGAGCCAAGGGAGAGGGGCCAGGAAGAGAGCCAGGAGAGAACTAGGCAGAGAATCCAGGGATGAGCGCCAGGGGAGAGAGCCAGGGGAAGAGAACTAGGAAGAGAGCCAGGGAGAGGGGCCAGGAAGAGAGGCCAGGGAGAGAACTAGGAGAGAATCCCCAGGGGAAGAGGGCCCAGGGGAGAGAGCCAGGGAGAGAGCCCAGTAGAGAGAGCCAGGAAGAGCCAGCCAGGGAGAAGCCAGAATAGAGCCAGGGAGAGAATCAGGAAGGAGCCAGAGAGCCAGGAAGAGGGCCAGGGAGAGAGCCAGAGAGAGAGCCAGGAAGAGAGCCAGGGAAGAGAGAGCAGGGAGAGAGCCAGGGCCAGAGAGCCAGAAGAGAGCCAGGAGAGAGCCAGGAAGAGGACCAGGGAGAGAGCCAGAAAAGGGCCAGAGAGACCAGGGAGAGAGCCAGGAGAGAGCCAGGAAAGACCAGGCCAGAAGAAGAAAAGGAAGCCAGGAGAGAGCCGGAGAGAGAGCCAGGGAGAAGACCAGAATAGAGCCAGGGAGAGAGCAGCCAGAGAGAGAGAGAAGAGAGGAAGAGAGCCAGGAGAAAGACCAGAGAGAGAGCCAGAAGAAAGGAAAGCCAGAAAGAGAGCCAGGGAGAGAGAAAGAGCCAGGAAGAAGCAGGGAAGAGAGAGCCAGGGAAGAGGCCAGGAGAGAGGCAAGAGAGCCAGGAAGAGAGCCAGGAGAAGAGAGCCAGAGAGAGAAGCCAGGAGAAAAGCCAGGGAGAAGCCAGAGAGAAAGCCAGGAGTCAAGGAGAGCCAGGGAGAGACCAGGGAAGAGAGCCAGAGAGAGAACCAGGGAGAGAGCCAGGAAGAGAGCCATGGAGAGAACCAGGGAGAGAGACCAGGAGGAGAGACCAGGGAGAGAGCCAGAGAGCCAGGGAGAGAGCCAGGAGACCAAAGCCCCTTTCTCAGCCTCCTTCCCTCACCCCCCGCAGGTCATGGGCCCCTGAAGATGATGCCGCCGCCGCCCCTCGCCGCCCTGGTCCTGCTGGTCGTGGGCGTCGCAGGTCAAGAGCGGGGCGTGTCCCTCCGCCCGCGTGACGACGGCGACGCCTACCCTTGGGCGAGCCGGTATCCTGCCACTTACTATCCTTCGTACAGGACATACCCGCCCGCAGCTACCCATCGCCCGCATCTTCCTATCCACCTTATCCGCCCCCCTCCACCTACCCGCCCGCAGCCACCTACCCGCCCGCGCCCTCCTATCCAGCGACCTACTATCCCCAATCCTCCTACGTCACGTACCCGTACTACGCCGTGTACTATCCGCCGGGATCGCAGTACTACCGGCCCTATCCTGCGCAGCCTCCTCACGCCAGCCCCCCCACCCCCGCCCCCCTACCCTTACCCGCCCACCACCAGCCCCCCCACCCCGCCCCTACCCTTACCCGCCCACACCAGCCCGCCCACCCCGCCCCCTACCCTTACCCGCCCACACCACCAGCCGCCACCCCGCCCCCTACCCTTACCCGCCCACCACCAGCCCCCCCGTCTACACCCCAGGTACCCCACTCCCTGGCCCTCGACTGCGCCTCCTGCCACCCCACCCACCGCCCAGCCCCCCTCCATGACCCCGGCGCCCACTCCGCCCCCGACCCGGCCTGCCGGCGTGGCCCACCGGGCGCACGCCCGCCTCGGGTCTTCCCGTGGCCGACGGGACGGCCCACTCGGCCGCCCATGCCGCCGTCTGGCCCACGGAGTCCCGGAAGTCGAAGCCGCCCACGCCCGCGCCAGCGGTGTGGCCGACGGGCGCCACGACGGCCCGGCCGCCCGCACCGCGATGGCCCACGAACACCCCGGATGCCGCGCGGCGGCGGCGACCAGAGCGTGTGGCCGACGCGGCAGCCGCCCACCGAGGCGCCGGCGCCCGCCAGCTGGCCCACCAGCCTGCCCAAGCCCACGCCCCAGGCCGTCAGCTGGCCCACGCCCGCGGCGCCCCAGTGGCCCACGGGCGCCCCAGCACGGCCGCGGCCCCCACCATCAGCTGGCCCACGCAGAGGGCGCGGACGGCGAGGACGACCCGCCCGGTGGCGCCGGCGGCGACCACGACCCGCGCGCCCTGGTGGATGGCCTACGAGGCGACGGAGACCAGGACGGCGGCGCCCGCTCCTGCAACTACCACAGCACCTACAACCACGACTACAACAACACCAATTACAACCACAACTACGACTACAGCCGCACCAACTACAACAACGACTACAACCACGCCAACAACTACCACAACCACACCAACTACAACTACCACTACACCTACTACAACTACGACTACAACCACACCCACAACGACGACAACACCAACTACGACTAAAGCGACATTCATTCTAAAACCAAAGAAAACAACTAAACCCAATGTAAAGTAAGTCTTATTTTCACTGTAACTATATTTTATAATATATTCATTTTCTTCTCTCCCCCCTCTCTCCATTTCTATATCTATCTATCTATCAGCTATGTATCTATCTATGTATCTCTCTCTCTCTCTCTCCTCCCTCCATCTCTCTCTCTTCCCCCCCCCCTCTCTCTCTCTCTCTCTCTCTCTCTCTCTCTCTCTCTCTCTCTCTCTCTCTCTCTCTCTCTCTCTCTCTCTCTCTCTCTTCTCTCTACCTTTCCCTCCTTCCCTTTCTCTATCTATCTATCTTTCCTCTACTGATTGCCCTGTGATTAGATTCTGTTTGCTCATCGACATAAGAACAGATAAAACTCATACAAAAAAATTACGCCTATTTTGTAATTTTAATGATAATAATTTTTTTTTCAGCTGTCGAAAATTATGTTTCAGCGAGACAGGAGAAAGCTTTTGTTGCGATTCAGGTAAAAGCATTTGTGTGTGTTTGTGCTTGTTTGTTTGTTGTTTGTGTGTGTTGTGTGTTTGTGTTTGTGTTTATTTGTTTCTTTGTATGTGAGTGTGTTTGTGTGTGTGTGTTTGTGTGTGTGTGTGTGTTTGTTTGTGTGTGTGTGTGTGTGTGTGTTTGTGTGTGTGTCTGTTTGTTTGTATGTGTGTGTGTGTGTGTGTGTGTGTGTGTGAGTTCGCGTGTGTATGCATTTTTATAGTAATAACAATAATGATAATAATAATAGCATCGATAATAGTTCTAACATTGAAAATGATAATGTTTATACTGATGATGATTATGGTACTACTACTAATAATAATAATAACAATAATGATAGTAATAATGATAACTATAATGATAATTATCATAATGATGATGATGATAATGATAACATTAATAATGATAATAATGACGAGAATCATAACAATAGTGATAATGATAATACTAGCAACAGTAATTACTTTAGTAATGATTATAATGATAATGATAGCAAGAGTAATAACAATAACACCAACAGTAATTATAACGGTGAAAATGATAATGATGATAATGATAGTAATCCTACTACTAATGAAAATAATAATTATTGTAATTCATCCTTACAGTTTGGTATTTAACTTAAATTCCTTTGCTTCTGGTAACACTGTACAACACCAGGTTTCTTGCAGGTATAAGCTGACGAAATTTAAGACTTTTTTTTAAGGCTTTTTTAAGACTCATACCAACTACCTTTTAAGCTGAATACATACTTCCCATAATGTGATAGGCCTACTTGCATCAGTGACCGAGAAATTCATACCATGATTTTTAAAAGAGCCTCTCCGGGTAGACTGCGCGCCAGAATGACACACACACACACACACACACACACACACACACACATACATTTTTTTTTTTTTTTTTTGCACACAGCCTATAAGTAAACAGTTGCGTCAATCTGCAAAGATCAAGGTCTAATGTATATAAGCGATTTTATGATCAAATCGCGTAAAGAGAGTGGATAAGAGATATGTACATTTACGCGGACGAAAGAAGTGTCATATTTCAGAGAGAAGAAGATCCAATAAATGAATTCAATGTCTGAAATAATCAAGATGAAAATTTTTGTCTTAATTGTTATATGTCCTGACTAAACTTTGCCAGAAATTATATTCCATGTGACTGCGTACTTGATGTCAATAATTTATCATCATCATTATTATCATTATTATAATAATTACAATGATAATCGTAATAATATTAATAATAGATTTGATGATATTAGTAAAAAAATAATAATAGCAATGATAATGACTATAATAGTGATAGCGATGATAGTGATAATGAAAATAACAATGATAAGAGTAATCATATAAACATAATAATGATCATAACAAAAATAAATGATAACGATAATGATAATAAAAATAACAATAACAATGATACTACAACTGATAATTACAATAACAATGATACTACAACTGATAATTACAATAACAATGATGACTGATAATTACAATAACAATGATACTACAACTGATAATTACAATAACAATGGATATATGCACAGCTGATGGAGTCTGTCCTCTGAAACCTTCTGTCTGCTCAGCTGTCAGCACAAGACGTCGCAAGAGAGTAAGTAAGACTGATTTTGTAGTTTTCAATACTTTGATGTCTTTTCAGAGTCAAGTGATCAAAGTTGAAGGGTCAGATGAGGTCAAGTCAGGGTCAAAATTGATCAGGGTCAGATGAGTCAACAGTCATCAATCAGGTCAGATAAGGTCAAAGTTATATAGAGTGAAATTCAGTAAATGTTAGATTAGGGCTAGAATTAATTTTTAAAGTCAAAGTTATCAAAGTGATGGTAATCAGAAAAGAAATTTGATTTGTGATAATAAATTGAAATGAAATCTTTAGTCTTTCTTATTTCTATTTATCTTTTTACGCTGTAATTAGCCATTTACCAAATGTATTTAAATTAAGTTTCTTGTACGTGTATTTCCTTATATTAGGATGATACTGTCTTCCATATATTCTTATTGTTATTATCACTTTTATCATTACTGTTGTTATTACCATCATGATTTTTTTATCGTTGTTATAATGGTCATTATACCATCATTATTGTAATTGTTGTTCTCATTATTGTTAATGATACTGTTATTATTATCATATTATTATATTATCATTATTGCTATCATTGTAAACATTATCGGTATTGTTAATATTATCATTATCATTATTGTTATTATTATTATTATCATTATCATTATTATTATTATCATCATTGCTATTATTATTATTATCATTATTTATTATTATTATTATTATTATTATTATTATTATTATTATTATTATTATTATTATTATTATTATTATTATTATTATTTATTATTATTATTATTATTCATTACATTATTATCATTATTATTATTCATCATTATTATTATTATTATTCATCATCATCATCATCATTATTATTGTTTTTTGTTATTAATGTTATTGTTTTTGTTATCATTATCATTATTATCATAATCATTATTATCATTGCTTCTGTTGGTAGTGGTGGAGTTCTGATCAATTTTATCATCAATAGTGTTATAATTACTATTGTCTATTATCTTTATTGTTGTTGGTGGTTTTATTATTATTATTATCATCATGTTATTATATAGTTATTATCATTATCATTATATTATATTATTATTGTTGTTGGTTACTACTTTTATTATTCTTATTATTTTATTATTATTATTATTTATTATTATTATTATTATTATTATTATTATTATTATTATTATTATTATTATTATTATTATTATTATTATTATTATTATTATTATTATTATATCATTATCATCATTATCATCATTATCATTATTGCTGTTGTTGTTATTATTATCCTTATTGTTATTTTGTAATTACTATCATTATCATTATCATCATCACCATTGTTACCACTATAGTTAGTATTATTAT